CGTGTAAAAGCAAAAAGTTCGCATTTGGTAATACAAATCAAAATTGGCGTTTCGCATATGAGGTTGTATGGATTGGGGTTAAGATACGAAGGTGATTATGGTTAATATTCATTTCGTATTTGGTGAGACAAACAACTCAAATGCGAATGAACTAAAAAAAAATGACTGGAACATGCGAAGAAAGAGGGTGAATGAAGAATGTGAATTTTACAGTAGAATGCGAATTGGGAAGAAAGCTAAGAATTTCGCATTTTAATATACAAATTGATTGATTGATTGATTTGTCTTAATTGTTAATTGCGATATATGAAATACTTATCAAGTTAGGGGCAATATGGTCATTTTGAAGTAAAAGAAGCCTTGGTTATTAAATGAATCATACGAAGGATCTGTTATTTGATTTTGGAATTGGGGCGAATAATCGAACCATTTGGAGTTGCGAATTTGATTTTGAAAAGCCAATCAGTTGGGTTCGCATATGAAAACAGATAAGTTTTGATTTTCGATTAGCAATTGGGTTAATTGGGTTATTGATTGAGGGACGATTCGTGAAGAAAAATGCGAAGTCAAGAAGGACTGTGAAATGTGATTTGTTCAATATTGGAGTCAAATGCAGTTCACGTGTAAAAGCAAAAATGTTCGCATTTGGTAATACAAATCAAAATTGGGTTTCGCATATGAGGTTGTATGGATTGGGGTTAAAGATACGAAGGTGATTATGGTTAATATTCATTTCGTATTTGGTGAGACAAACAACTCAAATGCGAATGAACTAAAAAAAAATGACTGGAACATGCGAAGAAAGAGGGTGAATGAAGAATGTGAATTTTACAGTAGAATGCGAATTGGGAAGAAAGCTAAGAATTTCGCATTTTTATTACAAATTGATTGATTGATTGATTTGTCTTAATTGTTAATTGCGATATATGAAATACTTATCAAGTTAGGGGCAATATGGTCATTTTGAAGTAAAAGAAGCCTTGGTTATTAAATGAATCATACGAAGGATCTGTTATTTGATTTTGGAATTGGGGGCGATATAATCGAACATTTGGAGTTGCGAATTTGATTTTGAAAAGCCAATCAGTTGGGTTCGCATATGAAAACAGATAAGTTTTGATTTTCGATTAGCAATTGGGTTAATTGGGTTATTGATTGAGGGACGATTCGTGAAGAAAAATGCGAAGTCAAGAAGGACTGTGAAATGTGATTTGTTCAATATTGGAGTCAAATGCAGTTCACGTGTAAAAGCAAAAATGTTCGCATTTGGTAATACAAATCAAAATTGGGTTTCGCATATGAGGTTGTATGGATTGGGGTTAAAGATACGAAGGTGATTATGGTTAATATTCATTTCGTATTTGGTGAGACAAACAACTCAAATGCGAATGAACTAAAAAAAAAATGACTGGAACATGCGAAGAAAGAGGGTGAATGAAGAATGTGAATTTTACAGTAGAATGCGAATTGGGGAAGAAAGCTAAGAATTTCGCATTTTTATATACAAATTGATTGATTGATTGATTTGTCTTAATTGTTAATTGCGATATATGAAATACTTATCAAGTTAGGGGCAATATATTTTATTTGAGTTATAACCAAAATCAACTAACTTGTCCAATTTAAAACAATAAAAGTATCCAAAAATATTCAAAACCAATAATATTTGACATCCTAAATACCCCAAAATTCAAAATCATACCAAGCAATTAAAATATCTTTATAACCAAAACAAATGATCAAAATATATTAAAGTGTCTTATAACCGATAGACACTCACTTTTCAATTTTTGGAATCAAGAGTGGAGTTTCCTCTGCGGTTGACTTTCTTTTAGCCTTAGTTGAACTTAAATCATATCCAGAATCAACATCATAAATTTCTTGGAGGTTGCGCTTCAAATCACCTGATATTTTGCAAGGACTTGTTGCGGTTGACTTATCAACTGTTGAGGGTGTAAAACTTTCGTCTGTTTGTGAGATCACATCCTAATTTTAAAAAAAAATGTTTGATTCCTAAAAAAAATAACTAATATAATTAAAAGTTTATAAAATAAAATGAAAAACCTTTTGAACAGGCTGTACAACATCATCGGATTCCAAAGCAACTTGATTTAAGGCGACAGATTGATTACTCTAAAAAATAAAATGGAAATATGTTAATCATTATGTACTTTAACATTAAAGAATTGTAAATTTTCAACAATAAAAAATTACATACCATAAGTTCTATTTTACTTTCCAATTCAGAAACAATGGACATATCTTCTGTAACTCTGAGAACTGTGTAGATGTTATTATAGTTGTTGACATTGTATTCTGTAATATCTACAATAAAACCAAACTTGCGGTTTTTCAACACATTAAGTTGCATTGGAAATAGGGCATCACTGTCTCCGGCCTGTAAGATATATTTTAATAAATTAAAAAAATTAAGTAAATGTTTTCTGATTTTAAAGGTATGGATAATATACCGCATCATGTATCTTTTTCAATTCGTAGGCTCTTATATTTAACAACCTCCTTGCTTCCCTATCAAAAAGAGTCAATCCAATGGTTCCAGTACAATCTTGTACGTTAATTGGAATTATATACCTAAAACAAAAAATAATTATGTCATTGTTAGTGTTGTTTTAAGATTGACAAAATTAATAGAAATAAATATGTCTATACTTTATACCTGACTGAAATTCAGATTTTTTGCATTGTGCATTTGTACACTCGACAACCATAGTTTCGGAAATTCCCTCAGGGTTGGTATACGAATGATTGGTTTTGGGAACAGGGATAACTTTTTTTCCACATTTTTTGCATGCTTCATAATACCATGGTAGATTCTGCCTTATATTAATAATGGAAGCAACTAATAAAAACTTCATTTCCTGTATCATATAAAATGTAAAAATTATTAAAATAAATTATGCAAAAATAAAATGTAAAACATATAAAATAATGCAATATACCTTAATTGGTTCGGTGATCTCACAGATTGTTTTTAATGGAAAATTGCCCTTAAAGTCATCTGTATATGAAGAAGAGTAGCTTTGAAGTGTAGTTATGCTTTTTTCAGTTATACCGAAATTGTCATGACATTTCAACCTGTAATGTTTAATTTAGATTCATGAATATTAGGTTTTGTGTTTTTTTTAAGTTAAAATACATTATAAAAAAATAAAAAACAATTGGAAACTAACTTATTTTTAAACTCATTTATTTCATAAATGTCAGAATTTATGAACAATTTCGTTACTTCAAAATGACTTTTAGCTTCACCAAGACCTGTAAAAAATGTATATCCAATTATTAAAATTTATATAAAAACAGTAATTATAAACATCTATATATAAAGACTGAATACAAACCATTCCAAATGTTTAGTTTCAAAAACTGCATCACGATAACAACAAAATTAACAGTCGGGTTATTTTTTAGGTATTCTGAAATTTGATATGCTTGACTTCCAAAAATAGTAACCTTCAGATGTACAGAACTAAATAAACCATAAAATAGTATATTAATATTAATTTGTGATTAATTAAAGATAATAAATAATAAATAAATAATACAATATAATCTCACTCTAGGTTGCTAAGAGTGACTTTTATATAATGCTTGGATGGTACTGGATTTGAAGTTTCAAGAGGCCTAAATGACACGATATGTCCAATAACATCTACACAACAGATACCACAAAAAAATAAAAGTTTAGGATTAAATTCGTAATATTTAAATAATAAAATGTATAACCAAAAAACAAATGATAAAAAATGATTTTATTAATATTTTATGACTAACCAAAGAATGTGTCTTTTGGCATGTTTGTTCTATGATAGAATTAAAGTCAACAAACATAAATCCATTGACCGGACCCGAGAAATCATCACATTTTTTTAGGATGCTTTTCCAATCCAAAGTTAAGGTCTGTTTATGACCTGTATAACTAAAACCATTAGTAACAGCAGCCATATTGGGTTTTATAACTATATAACTTTCATCTTCCTTTAAAAGATGACGAAATCTGGAGAAATTCTGATTGAAGACACGAGCTTGGTATTGTGTACCCTGTTTAAAAAAAAATTAAAAATTATTATGTTCATGAAACATGTCTAATATTGAATGATGAATAAAAAATATATCAAATACAACAAACCTCCTCATCCATGATGATCATTTCAATGGAACAAACTTTATTATTTCTGACAAAGTTCCAAATTTTAAGCACCCGAACCTTGATATGCGATTTTTCCTCTATCTGGTCAATGTTATTTAGGTAAACCTTATTTCCTATTTCCATTTTCTGCAATAAATTTAATCATTATAGAATTGTAAGGAAAATTAGCAACCTTTTAAATTAACAGCAAATCAAAGTAATTGAAACAGCAAAACAAAAAAAACATGTTGTAATAGTTAAAGCTTTGAGGTTGTATGGATTGTGGTTAAAGATGTTCGCATATTGGAGTCAAATGCAGTTCACGTGTAAAAGCAAAAATGTTCGCATTTGGTAATACAAATCAAAATTGGGTTTCGCATATGAGGTTGTATGGATTGGGGTTAAAGATGCGAAGGTGATTATGGTTAATATTCATTTCGTATTTGGTGAGACAAACAACTCAAATGCGAATGAACTAAAAAAAAAATGACTGGAACATGCGAAGAAAGAGGATGAATGAAGAATGTGAATTTTACAGTAGAATGCGAATTGGGGAAGAAAGCTAAGAATTTCGCATTTTTATTATACAAATTGATTGATTGATTGATTTGTCTTAATTGTTAATTGCGATATATGAAATATTTATCAAGTTAGGGGCAATATGGTCATTTTGAAGTAAAAGAAGCCTTGGTTATTAAATGAATCATACGAAGGATCTGTTATTTGATTTTGGAATTGGGGCGAAAATTAACAACCTTTTAAATTAACAGCAAATCAAAGTAAATGAAACAACAAAACAAAAAAAACATATTGTAATAGTTAAAGCTTTGAAGAACAGTTTTTTTTAAAGAAAATAAAGTTCTCATTTTTATTACTAATTTCGTATTTTGTAATCATTTTCATTAACATTTACGTCTTTTAAACTGAAAAGGTAGAAGAAGAACATGATTAAGAAGAATTAGCAAAAGGAAGAAGAAGAACATCACTAATAAAATGAAAAATGATAGAAACTGGTAAATCAGACAATTAAGATGTTAGAAATATTAGTAATGCTGATATTTTAATACACTAACCTGATATTATAATTTTTGAAGCGTTGCAGAATGAAGAAGAATGAAGAATAATACGTTTGCAAATATTACTATGGAGCAGAATTCGTCTGGAGCAGAATGGTAAAAAGAAAATAACCGTATGAATGCTATTTACGTTTGAATAAATAAGAATAAGAATTAAGAAGATTACGTTTGAAAAAGATAAATATTGCAGATTTTTAGGGATTTAATTTGCAATCAAAATAAACAAACTTTCAAAATAATGAAGATTACGTTTGAAAAAGATAATTTGGATTGTATGGCATTTACGTAAATATAGATGAATAAAATGAGCGGGAAAACTCTATTTTGGAGGTCTTATAGATTGACACGTGGCAGAGTTCTACTTATTTATTAGAATTAGGATAAATTTAATTTCTCTCTCTAATCGGAAATTAGGGTAGAGAGATATTACTGTTGAACTCAAACCACAAAATAGGAAAAAACGACAAAAGTCAAAAACCCCTTTTCCACTATTCATCTTGTTCTTCAGATTTGAATTTCATGTCGAGAGATGAATATATTTAATATTACATAAATTTATGAAAGAGATTGCAGGCAAATTTAATGGGTACATTCGGAAGCTTCAGAAAGGCTTATGGGGCTCTCAAAGACTCCACCACGGTTGGCATTGCAAGGGTCAATAGCGAATTCAAGGTGTGTTCTAATTCCAGTTATTTATATAGTTTTTCATATAATAGTTATATTAGTTTTATTTTTCTTGGGTAAATTTTGATCGAAGGATTTGGACGTTGCCATTGTCAAAGCCACGAGTCATGTCGAATGTCCGCCAAAAGAACGCCACATTAGAAGTGAGTTTAATATGTTATGATTACAATTTCAGTTCCAACATTAAAATAGACTGATCAGTATTTCAATTGAAAACTGAATGTCGTTAATTAGCTCAATTGTTAGAAATTTAATCTTGATCATAAGTAATTAAGAATTGCATTTGTATTGATTATGAATCGACTTGTTATGGCTTTATATTTTCCAGATCTGATTCAAGTGTCATGTTTTATTTTTGATGCTAGAGATCTTTTCTGCTACATCAGTAGTTGTACCACGGGCAGATGTTGCATACTGCATTCACGCGTTGTATAGGAGATTATCGAGGACTAAAAATTGGATCGTAAAGTCTTCTTCTTCATTATCTTTGTGTTTGTATCTTTCGTAACGTAATAGAAGTCAGATAAGATCTGATCAGTAATTTGTTAATAAAGGTTTAAATTTGATCGGTTTTGAGGCTACAAAAGCATCAATGTGGAATTCACTTAGCTAATATAACTACGCTACTACAAAACGTGTCACTTATTCAGCTAAATGTTATGATGCAAAATAAAAAAGCAAAAACTTAACAAATTTAGTGACACTTATCTTATGTCACTTGGCTAGTATCACGTTCTAAGTCGCTTGTGACATAGGACGACAACTTGCTTTTAATGAAAAGGACATGCTAGCAACGTTTTGTCGATATGGAATTTGGTATTATTCATATGTTTTCTCCTTGATAGTTTTGATTAATGCAGGTTGCCATAAAGACATTGATAGTGTTTCATAGGACATTAAGGGAAGGTGATCCTTCATTTAGAGAAGAGTTACTTAATTATTCACACCCGGGACAAGTTTTCCTAGTGTCGAATTTCAAAGATGACTCGAGCCCTCTTGGTAAGAAAAAACAAATGCAAATGCTTCTTTAAAAACACAATACTACATGTTGACAAATTTGTTGTTTTTTTTAACTTATAATCTTGTTCGATAAAGCTTGGGATTGCTCAGCATGGGTTCGAACGTATGGAATGTTTATTGAGGAACGGCTAGAATGTTTTAGAGTGTTAAAATATGATATCGAGTCCGAGCGATTGACTAAATACGGAATAGAGGTGTGTCGTGATTCTTAATTTTATTTTATTACTTATATATATAAACCACATTACCAAGAAGTTCACCTCTAGCACCTAACATATATTGTCGCAAAGTATTGTTGCTAAGGATTAGCGACGATTTTGTGTCGCCAAAAGTTATAACTATGATGTTTGGTCATAAATTATCACTTTTTAAAAAAAGAAAAATGCTTTATCTAAGTTTAATCGACTAAAGTTTCGTGAAGACGTATAGTAGAAGACGAGCAATTAGTGGTGATGAGCTACTAGAGCAACTTTCTGCAATGCAACAATTATTGTATCGTCTTATTGGATGTCAGGTAAACTTACATCTGGTTTTGCATATTTTATTTTCTTGAACGGAAATATACAAAGCAAATGAATGACTTTTGTAGCCAGAAGGAGCGGCTTATCGCAACTATCTTGTGCAATTTGCATTGGCTTTAGTTGTGAAAGAAAGCTTCAAGATCTATTGTGCTATCAATGATGGGATCATACATCTCGTCGATATGGTATTGTCATTAGTTTTTCGGAAACTTCGTGACTATATTCGATCAAATTCGAGTCTTTTTTGATAATCCAAGAGCTAAACACCATCAAAATTTTCTAGTTCTTCGACATGCCTAAACACGATGCTATAAAAGCTCTGAATATATACAAAAAAGCGGGGAAACAGGTATTAATGCATTGTTTCTTTTTTTCCTATTTGTCGATATACACACAAAATTGATATCTATTATTACATATTTTCCATTTAATTAGGCCGAATACCTTGCTGAGCTCTATGACTTTTGTCGACACTTAGATCTTGCAAGGAATTTTCAGTTTCCAACATTGAAACAGGTATATGACTTGGTGCAACTAATAATAGGTTATGTACTTTTTTTTTTCTTTAATGCATTGTGAAACAATTTTTTATTACTTTTAGCCACCACCTTCGTTTCTTACGACTATGGAGGAATATATCAAGGAAGCTCCTTCAATAGGTTTGCTTTCGATTGAGAGACTGGTAACGTTCCTTCTTAACTAAAACATGTAGCACTTGAAACCGATTTTATCGACTGGAATGTTTAATTTGAAATGAAATTAGGAATATGAGGATACCGAAGAAGAGGAGGAACGAACTGAAGAAACTGACTCTCAAGAAAACGAGAATAATGATGAACAAGTGGAAGAAAAAGAAGCATTGCTAGTTGATGATTTACTAGTAAGTTACGTTTTGTACTTTTGTTACTAGCACTCGTCTTCAACCCAACTAGGTTTCTAACACGTGTGTGCAATTTTTGATAACTCTATGTGTAGGGATTGCATGAAATTAACCCAACTGCTAAGGAATTAGAGGAAAGCAATGCAATGGCCCTTGCCATCGTTGAAAATGGTATGAAATCCTTTATGTATAATTGTTCATCTAATTTACATTTATATTTTTTTGAAGGGAAAATGACTTACGAGCCCAACGATGTTTTCAAACTGTTCAAAAAACTCCAATCATGTTTTCTCTGTTCAAAAAACCCAAGAAACTTAACATTTTGTCTAAAAAACTCAACTAAGTTACACTTTTCTGAAAGTCAAATTAGAGAAACATATGATATGGCTTATTACCGTATCGGGAAAATGACTTGTTAGACCAACGAAGTTTCCAAAATGTTTAAAAAACTCCAATTATGTTTTGACTGTTAAAAAAAAACCAACGAACTTAAAAGGAAAAAAAATGGGATTTTTTGAACGGTTTGGAACTTTTTGGACTTTTTAGATAAAATGTTAAGTTCGTTGAGTTTTTTTGAACAGACAAAACATGATTGAGATTTTATGAATGGTTTGGAAACTTCGTTGGACTTTTAAGTCATTTTCCCTTTTTTGAAAGAAATCAGACGATATAACTGAACCCCTTCGCAGGACATGATCATCAATCGTCGTCCATGGACTGGAGTGAGATCCAAAAGGCACCAGGATGGGAGCTTGCACTAGTCGACTATAACATCAACATTAGTGTCAACACTTCACAGAATAGATTGGTCAGTTTTCATCTCATTCTTTAAAAAAAAAGAACAAAAAAAAAAAGAAAAAACTTTTTTGGGAGCTCAAAAGGTTCACTAAGGTTGCATGGACAAGATTGGATTAGACTACATAAGTTTTCTTGGTTGTTTTTGTTGATTAATACGAGGAGGACAAAAGATACTAAAAATTTACTTATACCATTGAGTCACTTTCTGAGTTTTGAATACG